AAATGGTCTAAGAAAGCAGTATACTTTTATGGATCATATAAAAGCTTTTCTAATCTTCCGCTCTTCGAAATTATTTGACTTTTAAATAAGATAATGACATAAAATATTTTTTGCGACATATTCCAAACCGATATTTATAAACACATTTCAAAGCCTTGCAATTTCRTTTTTATTTTTATTGAAAGATTGAGAATCTTCATATTAGGTATTAACTTTTGTCAATACTACTCGCAAATAAGAAGTAAAGACTAATCAAGGTTCTCCACTTACAATCACCAATCTTGTGAAGTAAAGTAGTAAAGTAAAGTCAACCTGGTATTCAAAAATCCGGATATTAGTTATAAAAGTTTTAGGTCACGTTTCCGCCCATTTTATGCATTACATACACAAAGACACACTGCTATGAGTAAAACAGTGTCTCTTAACACTTATAAGTATTATAATAACGGTCTTATTGACTGAAACATGTGATATAAAGTCACCCGGAAGTTCGAAAATCTTTATGTTAGGTAGGTGGGGGTCGAAGGAAGCATTGATCCACTTCAAAATATTTTGACACACAGAAAAACTATTATTAGGATAATAATTTCTCTGAATTTCAWTTACATATCTCACACATTCACTAATATTTTCTGTCAAAACTCAACTCCCAACTATAGACATCGGGAACCAGCTATTCGGTACCTGTGGGCTTGAACAGTTGTGGTTCGATTTGTCCAATTTTTGGTCATAAAGTGGCATATTTGAAAGGCACTACTCGTTCAAAAATTTAAATCGATATGGTATATTACTTGTTTCTTGATTTGTATACCGAAGAGTGAAAGAATCAAAAGGAATTTAAAATTATGTTTTATGGGAAGTAGGCGTGGTTGTAGTGCAATCATTTTCGCACTGYGACATAGAAATATGAGAGGAATGCCAYGTGCTAAATTTAGTCGAAATCGGTCCCGAGATATGTGATTTCRCCAAAAAGTGGGCAGTGMCACGCCCATCGGSMAATTTTGACGCCGGCGCTTATGAAACTTTCTAATGCCATCTGGGTGGTAAAATTGAATGTCTTTGCAGTTTTTGGTTATTTATTCATCGCGTTTTTAGTCATTTTTTACAGTACCGTTACATATATGGAGAGTAAGCGGTACTATGTATTAACCGCTATCAGTAATTTCACACAGTTAGTAGGGATTCTATTTCTGCAGAGCGAATTTTGTTATTTTAGCTTGAACTGTTTAAGAGATACGYACATTAAACATATTAGACGGCCACGCCTTCTTTTTCAAACAGCTCTTTATCATAATTAAGTTCTTAGTTAGGCCCTTCTTTTTATTAAATTTTATGAGTTTTAGTTTGAAGGCCAACAGAGCTAAAAACATTTCCCAACCCACATCTATTTATGTTAAGAGCTTTCTCTACTTATGAACTTTCATCAAAAAGCTCAACTTTACTCCAGAAAAGTTGCTTCCATAGCCCGTTAAATAATTAACAGATAATTGTGTTGTATTATTAAAATATAGTATTACTGTTTCTGAGCTGAGCTTCTCAGGAGCCCATCTTTCAAAGCTCTAGACAGCTTTTTGCGCTGTTATATGGCGTCATTTTTGTAGAATTGATGAAATTGTAAGAAAACATAAATATTTTAATAAAAATTGTAGTGACATCATAACTTCTACTCAATTTAAAGAAAAATAAAATTGAGTTTCTTCGAGATAACTTTAATTGTTCTGGAATATATTTTTATATTCCTTATCGATATTGGAAAAGTATATTTCGAAAATAAATTTCGATTGCTAAAAGCCTTCCTTGCTGCCCTTTGTAACTTTAAGTAGTAGTATTATTTTAAAAATAACTATAAAAATTAGGCAATTTGGTTTATTGCAATAAGTGCACTATAAGAAAAAATAACGAAAAGATATCGGAAAAAATAACGAAAAAATATCGGAAAAAATAATAAAAATAATATTTTAACCAAAAACACGAAAAAATAACCAAAATAATAGGTCTACAACTTTGCTTCCATCGTTTTCCAATAGATGTCTCCAGGGTCAAGCACTGGTCGATTAAATCGTTTTATATCGATTTTGGACATTTGTGTCAACATTAACCCAACAATATTTTTGTAGAGATCTGTTTGCATCCCAAACTTATTCTCAACTGAAAATGTCACTTTTTTTTTCTTGAACCGATTTCTCGATATTTGCGGCAAAATTTTTCTTTTCTTTTTTAATTCCAAGAATAGTGCGGCTGAGGACCCGTCCACGCTGAGGCTGACACATTCATAGACAATACTATTACTCTTCTACTGCCATATATATGATTTCTATTAGGTATGAAAAAATAATATAGAATTTTTCTAAAACAACTTGTTTTAGTTTACAAAAAAATGGATCATAAGGCATTTCGTGTGTTAATTAAGCATTGCGTTTTGAGAGAATAAGGGAAAACACTTTTGGAGCCTTTTTATACAATAAAGCCTTAAATTTTCAAAAAAAAAAAAAACATCGGAAGCAAAGTTGTAGACCTAATAATAACGGGAAAAAA